CACAAGACCCAACACTATGGATGAGCTAAAGACCCAACACTCTGGATGAGCTTAAGGCCACTATCGAAGCATCCTGGACCTCCATAACACCTCAGCAGTGCCACAGGCTGATTGCCTCCATGCCACACCGCATTGAAACCATCATTTCTGCAAAAGAATTCCCCAAGTATTGAGTGCATAACTGAACATAATTTGAAGGTTGACTTTTTTTTTTAATTAAAACACTTTTCTTTTTTTGGTCGGATGAAATATGCTAATTTTTTGAGATAGGGATTTTTGGTTTTTCTTTACTTTTTTGCCAAAATCATCAATTTTAAAACAATAAAAGTTTTGAACTACTCCAGTTGGTGTGCAATGAATCTAAAATATATGAAAGTTTAATGTTTATCAGTACATTACAGAAAATAATGAACTTTATCACAATATGCTAATTTTTTGTGAAGGACCTGTATGTTACTGTGCTAGCTCTGTGCTAATATAGAGCTGCATTTTTGAAATCTGAGTTGGGTCTTGAAGGCCTCAGATTTGAGATGCATAGTTCACCCTTTTTAAATTTATATTTAGAATAAGTTCACAGGACATCTTCCCCCTATTTAACTTCAACAGGTGTATTACTCTTTTGCATCTTTATTCTTCATCTAGAACATTGAGGTCAAACAATCAGATGCTTTTAGATGTTCTAAGATCCAGATTTAGGATTAGAGGTGATTGTTTTGATGTTGCAGCTCCCAGTCTATGGAATAACTTGCCCTTTCATATTAGATCTGCTCATAGCTTGGAAAACTTCAGTGCTTCTTAAGACTTATTTTTTTATTCAGTGACATTTATTTAAAGTAAGGCATGACATTGTAATTGTAAATTATATTTTTAACTATTGTTTGTTGTAATTTATTATGTATCTTTAACTATTTTTATGGGTTTGTGATTTTTATTGATTTCTGTACAGCACTTTGGAGTCTTTAGCTGTTTTTTTAAAAGCGCTTTTATAAATAAAATTGACATTGACTTTTTTTAAAGTCCTACAGGCTCTGAGATGTAACAAAAACTTGAAGTTGGATTTTTGGAAAAATCTCTGAGATTTGAAAAAAATCACTGAAATTGCCCTATACCTGTGAAATAGAGGAAAATGTATGTAATTTTACTGACAAGCCATACAGCTTGACATGTATGTGTGTACCTGTCTAATTAATTTTACCCACAATTAAAATAAAAAATACATTCGGGTGAGAGCAGATGTTTCTCTGATTAAATATTATACCAGACTATTTTTTAATTTTATTTTTGTTTTTGTTTCACGAGACATACCCTGCGMGGAGGGAGATAAAAGATGACAAAAATCTGATTAAATAAGTAACGTTTATAGTTTTCACAGAAAATGTGTCAAATTCTAACTTTGATGTTGACTTTGATATAGGAAAATAAATTCCACCCCACTAATATCTATGCTTACGAGCCAATACTGGTTGAGAACAGTATTCTATATGCGTCTTGATTGGGGGATAGAAGTCTTCACTTAGTGTTAGCAAGCTTGAAGTTACTGGAACTGAATTTAGAGGAAGCTAATTGGTCTGCTAATGTTTTCTAAAGTCAGCAAAAACAACAAAAAGTTAGTTCTGTTATCAGCTGTTTGCTGTTAAATGAAACTGTGCCCACCACTGGTGATTTATAGTAAAATGTAAACCTCTCTCCTACAGTACTGCTGTACCCTGTACTCACTGGTACAATGACCGTCATGTACCTGCAGATTTGACACTGGTATACCTTTTATTTACAAATCTATCCTCAGTGTGCTTTCTATCCATTTACATTCCAAGATGTCTCAAATGGTACAGTCAAAGCTTATCTGTGCTCCAGTGTCCCCATAGTTCACATAGAACTTGGGGAAAAATGCCCTCTCAAACTGCTCCATCTTCCTGGAATACACTGTAGCAAAAAACAAAATTGTCCAGTTTGATCTGAGACATTTTAAGAACATTTTAAAGAAAATTGAAAAATCAGCATTTCAAGCCTTTGTCTTTAAAATTTCAACATAATGTTTTGTGATTTTTGTGTAACTGATGTTACTGTAACAGATCTCTCTTGTAAACGACACTACACGTCTCAACAAAATTACCTGTTAAAAATAAAAGTAAGTAAATAAAAATAATGTTAATTTTGTTTCCAGGTGGTGGAGAAAACCAATCCGACAGAGGCAGTGGGTGTGGTCTGTAAAGTAGACGGGCTTTACCAGGTGGTAGAGTATAGTGAGATCACCCTAGCGACTGCAGAGAAGCGCAGTGCCAGTGGCCGACTTATGTTCAACGCAGGAAACATAGCTAATCACTTCTTCAGCTTCTCTTTCCTCAGAGACGTAGTACAGTAAGACATTAAGTTTTCTTTTAAGTTTTTTCTTACACGTTTGCTCTCTTCTGTCAGACAGTTTTTAATTTGCTTTCCATTAATTCAGGGTATTTGTTCTTTGTTTACACAATAGGAAGTATGAGCCGCAGCTGCAACACCACGTAGCCCAGAAGAAGATCCCATATGTGGACACTCAGGGTCGTCTGATCAAACCGGAGAAACCAAATGGCATTAAAATGGAAAAATTTGTCTTTGACATCTTTCAGTTTGCTAAGTGAGTTACAGTTTTTCAGAAAAGGCACAGAATACTTTTACTGACTCTCTAATAGCCTTCAAAGTACTACAAACTTACCCTCAAAGACCCTTCGTCATCAATCGATCCGGCAGGGAGGAATAGCCTATATGCCACGGACATCCGGTCCAGCACTTGATGCCACTCTGATCACTTCCGGTTCGCGGTCAACACAGTGTTAGCGAAAGATTTTTTCACCCGACAATGACTCTTAATGATCTCCACAGTACAGAATTAGCATATTACATGTACCAACATTAACACAGGAGACGTGCAGGTCCAGCCAAGTGGAAAAACAATCGCTCGTGTTTTGTCTACACCGTAATATACACTCTAACAAGGTTTTACTTTTGCATAAAACTCATGACAAAGTTGCCTAAAAACATTTCATACTCTGTATAACACAAAGGCGCACACACTTACCTTTGTACCGGCTGCTGTGTTAGCTTCCTCCTAGCTGTGAGGTGGTTTTTCCTCTCAGGTCTRGGCAGTAAAAGGGGATAATTGTACATCTCCCATTTGTAACCTCCATCTTCTCATTTCTGATGCTGACTCTTGAATATCCTCAGGTTAGAAATGCCGATTACAAACGCAAGCYTGAGCTTACAGCTAAGTTTTGCCTGTATAGCTATGATCCACTGCTGTCACCTTTCCTCCTCTAGAGGAAAATGGATAAAAACTAACTCTGGCACACACAACGGCACACAACAGAACTCACGTTTTATACCAGTAGCTCAGAGATGCTTTAACTTTTGTGACTTTTTAACGGAGAAGTATTAGGAGCTTACGCTAAAAACAAAGGCAGTAACCAGGAAGTGGAAGGGAGGAGCGTGGCAAGAATTTTACCGGAAATACGTCATTAATGACCGTGGCATATAGGCTATTGTGCTGGAGGACTGGAGACTCCCACACCACAGTGCTCATCTCATGACACAGGAGCCTCCAGGCTGTTTGGTGATTCACCCGTCATGCCAAATGCTAATTCGTCTTCAAGATTCTTCACAAGATAGTGCACAAAAACTTATCAATGGTTGTTGGTTAGTTCTGATAGTGTGGGCATGGAATTTTAAAAAATTTTTCATTTTTACATAACATCACTGTAACATCACTGTAAATCGTCTAAACTGTACAAAATCATATGATAGGCATCCAGTCCTGAATGTGGTCATATGCAAATTTTGTGAATTGATCACTGTGCCACCAGTCGCAGTATAAAAATGTTTTATTGTTTTTGAAGAAAATCTCCCACTTAAACCTTTCATCCTAAATGTTTCAAAACTGCTGTCTAAAGTTCAGGCCCTTTTCGAAATCAAAAAAATATTTATTGCTAACATCTGCCAAGCGTATGGCTTGGGAAATTTGGAAACCTTTATAAGTGTCCCCAATAGTGCAAAACTGCCATTTTTATATTTTAGAGGGCTGGTCTTCTCAAAACTTGGCAGATATTTAGAACTTGTGAAAATATGTTAAGTTAATAAGTTTTCTTCTAATGCTAACTCTTCCATGCTCAAAAGTGGGGAGAGTACTGAAGCTGTCAATAATCCCACCACCAAGAACTGACAACTTGACACTCAGTTCTGGTCATGGCAGCGGACCAAGAGGGCCATTACATTGCTGAAGAAGATCCTACGATTCCAGTAGAGCAATCAGTCCTGAAATTTGAGGCCACCTCAGAATAAGAGGGTTGCCCAGAAGTTTTACTTGTCCTTTGTTCTAGAAGATGCACTTCTTGACGCTGAGGCAGACATCACAATCATGTCCACTGAACTGTTTTAAAACCTAGCTGCAAACCATGTTAACAAATAGCTGAAACATCAGTCTTGCTCACTAGAGCTAAAAGCATGTTCTATGGAGGGGTCAGCATTGGCACAGATACAGGTGACCATTGGTCCAGTGACTATGGTCCACCCAGTGTCCATTTTAGACATCAACACAACTCCAAGGTGTCCAGGTAGACACTGCATAATGTACTGTTGTCCCTGACCGCCAGAATCATGGACCTACTTTCCTTTAATCCAGACCATCTCAGATCAAGAGGAGACAGTACCTGGTGTGCGCCAAGTGGCCAGTAGCCAACATTTTACTATTCCTGAATGCATACGTGATGTGTCTGTGCAGATCCACGTGTGGGGGAATCAAGGTCTTGACCACCCACAAGCTTTCTTCCAACCAGCACCACTGTTCTTTGAGCTTGGCCTGTCCTTAGAGATTACTACTCCCTTAGGCCTCGATTCAAGGCCCACAATACTCTCTGTGAATAACAACCAAATGGACATATTGATCACGAAGGCCATCCCCTTGAACTGGCTTATCAATAATGATTTTCACGACTTCAAGTTGGGCATACTAATTTTAGGGTGCTTACCACCCACACTTCTTCATGATGAAATGGGCACACAGGTTGTCACAAAGAACCAGGAAGGACAATCACACTTCTCGGTCATGCCTTTGAACCCGAAGTCTATCAGACACATACCTCACAGACCAAGACAAAATGGTCCTCCAAACTGCAGACATTACATCAGGGAACAGTCCTGAAGGCTATTTTTGTCGTCGACTCACTCTCCGTCTTCAAGGGTCAMGACTAAATCTTACAAAAGAAGGGATTCACCTTGCGATTGATGAAATTAGTCTGTTTAAATAAGTGGCGAGGAGAATTCGTCCAGTGCTAACCACATTCATTTGGATGTCGTGTCCTCCTGAGGAACTGACCCATACCAGTGGCTAGGTATTCCTTAGGCAAGCCCATTAACTGCTTACCCCCTTTATTGACAATTGCACTTGGAATTGACTGGAAAACCTGCTAATTGGACTAGTAATTCACAAGGARGTTGTTTTTAAAATCTTAGTTGACTAGGACAACTGATAAGAATCCTTAATTTTGATGTTAAAACTCAGTCTGGTACCTTTTAACACTTGTAGAAGAACCTCACTTCAATGATCGAATGTCCAAACGTGGTTTTAGAATTTTCTATTTGCTTGTATTTATTTATGCAGCAAAAGCGTCCATAAAATCAGATTAATCATCTGGGGTCTCATTTATAAAGGATTGTGTGGAAACCATACTAAAAGTGAACGTACGGCCAAAAGGCGGAAGTGGCGTACGCCAAAAAAAAATCAGATTTATAAAACCGTGCGTACGCGTGTTTCTACGCATCTTTCCTTTATAAATCACAGCCGCACGTCAGAGTTTGCGCACGAGGTCCCGCCTCAGGTTCTACCCTCTACAGGCCCACACTCAACCATAAACAGTCAGTGCAAAGTACCTCATGAATGTTAAGATGTAATTAAATCAGTCAGCTGATCAATGCCAACAAAAGTGATTGGTTCAGACTCGCGCTCCTTCGTGTGTCTGGATGATGACAGGTGCTGACAGACAGCTGCTCACGTGAACAGAATGTCTGTAATTGACACAGATTTCCCCTCATTTTGCTTTAGAGTAATCTAATGATTTTTATTAAAGAAATACTCAGCTTCAAATTAATTTTCTCTCAGAGCCTGCAGGATGATAAAAACGATGAAAATTAAATTAAATAAGTCAGATAAAATTAGAAATAAGTCCACCGCTCGTCTCCCCGTTTTCCCACAC